CCCCAAAACCCCAAAACCCCAAAACCCCGCTAATTTGGATCTAAGATTATTGAAAGAATTAAAACACTTTTTGTAAAATCTATCTAGGTTATATAGTCAAATTAGGTATTATATTAATCACTATAGCTCTGAGTATATAATTTCATAAGGAAGTTAGAGCTCTTTGAGTCCAGAATTAACTAAAGCTCTGACCTCTTCTGGCGCCTCTTTTTATCCCAATGGGTGCACATCTAGAGACATTTTAATAACATCCTCAACAAGCTTTGGAAGCATATCCTTTTGGACTGTTGTGTCTGTGAAGAGTGCTGGGTTAGTGTTAATTTCAATCAAGTATGGATTGAGTTCAATATCAATCATGAAATCGAATCCAAAAAGTTCAAAACAGCCAAACTTTTTATCAAGTTTATCTTAAACTTACATGAATACAAGTCTCATGATCTCTACCAATTTAGTTTCAATTTTGTCATGATATTCCTCTCTCGTATTGATGACTCCTTGCTCAATGAGAATATTAGCTAGATTATCCACACTCATTATTGAACTGTCTTTCAAAGCTTTATAATCAGGGTGATTCTTTTGAACAGAATTGTTAGTGAGATGAGTGATCTTATCTTTTTCAAAATTCTCTGTAGTATACTTATTAAGAGACAGTCTAACATAACCGTGATTATAAAGAACGAGATAAGGCTTCATACAGATGATAACCATGTAAGCTCTAATATCAAACTTTCTTCCATCAATTAATAGAGGGTTCTCCATGTACTTCTGAACAACCTGCTCCTTAAGCTCTTTGACAAGGAGATTCATATCAGTCCATCTCTTCTTTTTAGCCTCTGGAATATTTGACTGCTAAATTATTTGCTAGTTTTCATTCTCAGTCTCAATCCCCAGAGACTTTAACTTTTACATTAAGATTTCAGTTGAGTCTTTTACCTCTTCATCATCACTCTTGATTGTCAAAACATCATCCTTAAATTTCTTAATGTCTGCGATAAGTTTAATTCCTTTACCTTGATTTGATTAAGCCTTTTTTAGTAACCAGAATCCCTTTGTCTTGGAGTTTAAGAATTTCATTAAATCGGCGACAACATCTAGTCTATATGTTTCAGGAAAGAAATCAGATAGTCTGAGGTAGGATGTCAACTAACCTCCTTCTAAAGCTAATTTTATGTATTCAAGGGTCTCAAGTGTTGTGATCTTATTAGTGAAAATCTTGGCATTTGAAATATGATTCACTATGTGCTCCCCTTCAACAAACTTATGATAGTTGACTTCTTGTGATGTTTGAGTCCATTTATATCTGTATTAATTTGAGAATTACATCCCTTTACCCATTTCTTTGAAACCTTATTAACAGAGAGCATCTCTAGCTAATCTTGGATTATTGCCAATACCAATAAAGAACTTTTGTTCCTTTTTGAATTCTTGCTTGAGTTTCTATTCCATTGCTTAAGTCTCAGTTAAATTAGCATCATCTTCTTCTTCAAGATCAAGTAGAGGAGCATCCATGTCATTCTCGTCGTATTTCTCTTCTTCCGAGCTGAAGATGGACTTTTTGTCTGGAACCCAGAAAACTTTCCAGTTTCTCCATTCATGCACTGTGCAAAAGGACTTGCAAATTCCCTCAAGCCAGGTATCAATGGATCTATAATGGAACTCAATGCTGTGATAAGACTTTGACTCAAATTTATATGTGTCAAAGTACTATACCACGCCTCTTTGCCACCTTGCTCCTATAGATTACTCACCAGTGGGACCACCAGTGAAGATCTCAACATGAACCATATTATGTCTTTAGCCTCTAAGTTTAGTGTTATAGTAAATGCCACTATAGAAGATAAGATCTCCTGGCTTTAGTTCTTCAAACTTAAGAGCGACTGGTAAAGTATCAAACTAATATGCTTGGTTCCATCTATCGAGGTAGAATCCTAATTCTTCCCTCATGTCATAGGTAATTTATCTGACTAAAGCACAGCAATCAAGGAAGAGTGGAGCATCATAGTACTATTCACCTGGCTTCCAGTAGTGCTTAGCGTATGGGATACCGAAGTACTTCTTGGCAGTCTCAAGGAATTTCTGTCGGAGTCTTTCCTTAACAGCTGGATCTTTTTTGTCAACAGTGCTTTTCTCAGTTACATACTTTCTGTACTTGATCTATTCTACCTTCTGCTTTTTGAATCGCTCGAAGTTTGAACGCAAATCTACATTTTGATTATTTCCTCCAACCCATAGGACATCTTTAGCAGGCTAGTTTGAATCTTATAGTACTGCTTTCTAATCTCCAAAAGGCTGAGTTTCAAGGGATTTAGGAGATGTTGTAGTATCACTGATATTCTCCTTGTTAGCAATTTAAGTTTGCATCAGAACTAAGAAAAATTTGAAATATTTAAATTTAAGTTTCTAAATTTCTTAAATACAAAGCCTATATATAATATCGGGGTTTTGGGGTTTTGGGGTTTTGGGG